TTTTTTTTAAAGAGAGGAAGGTCTCACTCTGTGATCTAGGCTGAAGTGCAGTGGTGTGATCATAGCTCACTGCAGCCTCCAACCCCTGGGCTCCAGCGATCCTCTCACCTCAGCCTCCCGAGCAGCTGGGACTACAGGTGTGTGTACCACACACTGCTAATTTATTTTTATTTCTGTACAGATGAGGTCTCGCTATGTTGCCCAGGCTGGTCTCAAACGCTTAGCCTCAAGCAGTCCTTCTGCCTCAGCCTCCCAAAGTGCTGGGATTACAGATATGAGACACTGCATGGGAACCACATATTTTTACCCCCCCAGTTCTGTGAGGTGGCTTCTGGGGTCACCCCCAATTCACAGACAGGGAAACAGATTCTTAGGCGACATGCAACTCACCTAAGCATCCTGAACGGCTAAATGGCAGAGTGCCTGGGCAAAATAGCTAATCAATAACACGTTTTAGATGAATGAAAAGTGGAGAGCCAGGATCATCTGCAACTCTATTTGCCTCTAGAACTAGGCTCTGGGCTTCTCCACCTACTATCACAAGTTTTCCTGCTGTCCTTACTGGTTTCAGCCAGTCCCCTGACCCTGGTCTAAAATGTAGGACCCCTGGGTCCCAGCTGTGAGGCATGCCTAGCTGTGGCTATCCCGCCGACCTCCTGCCTCAGTTTTCTTATCTGTAAAACAGAATCACTGTTTTCCCAATCTCCCCCAATTAAGGGGGTCTGAGCCACCGACTGCCCTGCCTAGAGGAGGGAGAGAAGAGAAGTAACGGGGTGGCCCCGCCCAGCCACGTCCACTGTGCCATGTCCACTGTTATCAGGGCGGCCAGGGCGGAAGGAGCAGCTGAGACCGGAACTCCCCGAGTGGAGAAGGAGACGCCTTCCACCCCTCCCCCAAGAACCGGGGCCCGTGAGGCCTGGACGACTGACTTCTCCAGTGGGGATGGGGCAAGGAGGAAGGCGCCCCCTGCATCATCCCTGTGGGGCCTGGACACGTCCCCTAAGCGCTCATAGCCTCTGGGGTCGCTGATCAGAGTCCCGGGGGGGTCCCAAGAATCCAATCCCTGAACTTTGTCCGGCTCAAGAGATCCTAGAGTGTGGGCATCCAGTTGTACCCTCCTCCCCTGGCAGGTACTCTAGGAGGCTGAGTCTGGGCCCCAGCCTACGCCACCCTCTACCCGTCCCCTTTGGGTCCCCGGAGTCCGGTCCCCCAATTTTGTTCCGCTCCGGCACCGGTGAGCAGGGACGTCCAGCTGGGGCCCCCGTCCCCGCCCGCCCCCTCGAGGATCAGCTGCTGGGGCGCCCAGCCTGGCCCAGAACTCCCAGAAGCCACGACCCCAGGGTCTCAGAGCCCGTGTGCCCCCGCCCCCCAGGGGACGCCAGAGCCCGGCCCCGGAGAGGCACTCACTTTCCCCCACCACCGCCTTCAGCCCCGAGGGCGCCATCTTCCCAGAGGGGCGCCGCCGCCGCTTCCGGATCTGTCCCAAGGTGGGGGCGTGGCCCCGCGCGTCACCCACGTGGACCCCGCCCCGCGGGCCCTGGCCCCGCCCCCTGCGCACCTGGCCCCACCCCGCCGTTGGTTCTCGCCCAGGCCCAGGAAGTTGAGTCCCCGCGGGGAGGACCGGCAGGTGCGTCCGCGCTGCCGAGCACGAAGTAGTTGGAGGGGCACACCTCGACGACACGCTCGCAGATGGGAGTTCAGATACACACTTCCTGGCTTGCGTGCGAAGCGGGATCGCAGAGCAATAACCCCTCCAGCTTCCCTGGGCTGTTCCTTGTCTGCAAGATACGCGGTGCACACTCGATGCCACCAGGCCGCCACTGTCTGGCTCTGGGATCTTGACCCACTTGCCTTCTGTACTTCAAAGTGTAGAAGCAGCAGCAGCTTGGATAACTTTTGATGGATTTAGGAGGATGGGAGACCTCGTGTGCAGACACCTGGATGTAATTGTCATTCAGTCCTGCCCGTGACCCCCACCTGGAGTGCGCTGCCAAGGAGGAAACCGAGGCTTAGCGGGATCCCTAATCCAAGGCCACGACGAGTGAGCCTCCTGGGATTCTGGCCAGGATCCTGTCCCCAGGGAGCGCCTGTCACAGTCTTACTCTCTTCTGGGTGCAGCCACGTTTACCCTCGTGAGCCAACAATCGAATTCACATGCTGATACACACATGGGGAGTGACGCCCTCAAATGCTGGCAAACACACGCACATCCACACTCGACTTGAAATTTCAGTGGCTACTCCTGCTGTGTCCTGTGGTGTAGAGAGCACAGCCCCAGCAGCTCCCATACAAATGAGGTCTCCGATTTCAGGTGCGAGGTATGTGTGCAAATAGACTCCTGGTGGTCTGAGCTGGTTACTTCACGCGGTCGTGTTGATAAAGGTACCAAGCCCCCTGCCATTTACATGGGACATGGAGAGTGAATCAGACCCAGAGGCCTGGGGGAGATAGAAAAGGATCAATGAGGCCAGGTGCGGTGGCTCATGCCTGTAATCCCAGCACTTTGGGAGGCCGAGGCAGGCGGATCACCTGGCTATTTCTTCCTTTCCTTTCCTTTTCTATTCCTTCGTTCCTTCTTCTCTTTCCTCCCCATTTTTGTTTTTGTTTTGTAAATAGACAGGGTGTCACTCTGTTGCTCAGGTTCGAGACCAGCCTGACCAACATGGAGAAACCCCATCTCTACTAAAAATACAAACTTAGCCGGGTGTGGTGGTGCATGTCTGTAATCCTGTAGGGTCCAGCCCTGTAGGGTTCTGTGAGCCCCTCTCTGCTGGTGTGGAGATGAGAAATTGTAGAAAGAGAAGACACGAGACAGAGAAAAGAAAGTTTGGGCCCGGGGGTCCACTGCCAACCAAATCGTGGAGTCTTGCAGTGGCCCCGAATGCCTAGACGCTCTCCCTTTATTGAGTTGCAAATCTGGGGGCAGGGTAGGTAGGGCGTGGCCTTGGTGGTCAGTGACTGGAGGCAGGGTAGATAGGGCATGGCAGTGATAGGGTCAAGTACATCACGTGTCATACAGGTAGGGGCTCAATTTCACATAGCCGAGATGAGGTAAGGAGCCTAATGTATCAGCACTTTTTCCATACTTGTTAGGAAAAAGCAAAGACATTAAGATTGGTATTTTTTTACTGATTATCTCTTCTAAGAAAAAAGGAACCAGGTGCAGAAGCGGAACATGAGAGTGGACGTGGAACGTGACCATTGAACCACAGCATAAGAGACAGGTAAGCCCCCGGATGTCTGCGGGCCTTCCTGATACATCAGGCCCACCGCAAGAGCTTGGAGGGGCCGAGTTCTCTCCTAACTCCTCTGGGGAAGGAGACATCTCGGGCATCTTGGACGGCTCCTTCCCTAGCTGGCTAAACAGCGGGCACTTTCCCAGGTCTGACACCAAGGCGCCCTCCAGCAGCCCTTATGCAGGCGTGAGAGAGGGCTTAAAGCGTGTTGCCTTAGGGTCATTCCTTTCACAGTGTCTCCCCAGGTTCACACTTCCGACCTGAGAGGCATTAGTAAAAGAATTAGGATCACCTATGAATAACTAAGATCACATAAATAGCTAATAACTACTACCGTCATATTTCTAGTTACTTTCTTCTTCATTATTTATATAGAAATAGGCTGAGGCTTTTGGCTCCTGCCCCAGCTCCCCGCTACATAATCGCAGCTACTCGGGAGGCTGAGGCAAGAGAATCACCTGAACCTGGGAGGTGGAGGTTTCGGTGAGCCAAGATCGCAACATTGCACTCCAGCCTGGGCAACAAGAGAGAAACTCTGTCTCAAAGAAAATAAAAGAAAAGAAGACAAGAAAAGGATCAGTGCTGCCCTAAAGGAAATAAACTGATGTGACAGTGAGTACCAGGAAAGGCAGGGGTAGGTGGGGACTTTATTGAGGGTGACTCCCGAGGGCCTCTCTGAAGAAGAAGCCTTTAGACGTTATCCCTGAAGGAATTTGAGAAGCAGCCCCACAGCAGTGTCCAGTAGAGAAGGGAGGGGCCATGAATTTACGAAGGCTGGAGGGAGGGTGGGGGCAGTAGGGGTCAGACTTCTATAGGATGAGGTCTGACCGACCCATCCCAGTGCCAAGATGCGGGACTTTCAGTGCTAAAAACAGGACAGCCACAGGCAAACCAGGATGGGTGGCGACCCTAGGAAGGAGTTTGGCTATTTCTTCCTTTCGTTTCCTTTTCTATTCCTTTGTTCCTGCTTCTCTCTCCTCCCCGTTTTTGTTTGTGGGTGGCAACCCTACGAAGGAGTTTGGCTATTTCTTCCTTTCGTTTCCTTTTCTATTCCTTTGTTCCTTCTTCTCTCTCCTCCCCATTTTTGTTTGTTTTTGTTTTGTGAAGAGACAGGGTGTCACTCTGTTGCTCAGGCTGGAGGGCAGTGGTATGATCATAGCTCACTGCAGCCTCGACTTCCTGAGCTCAAGGGATCCTTCCACCTCAGCCTCCCAAGTAGCTGGGACTACAGGTGCACACCACCTTGCCCAGCTAATTTTTAAAAGAATTTTTTTTAAAGAGACAGGGTCTCTCTTTGTTGCCCAGACTGGTATCAAACTCCCAGTCTCAAGAGATCCTCCTGCCTTGGCCTCCCAAAGTGTTAGGATTTTAGGTGCACCCTGCCCCTTCCTCCTTTTTTAACAGCTTTACTGAGATATAATTAACATACCATGTAACTTGCTGACCTAAGGTGCATAAGCCAATGGCTTTTAGTATTTTTGGAGTTGTGCATTCATCACCACAATCCATTTTAGAACACTTCCACAACCCTAAGATGTTTGGGTTTTGTCTTGAGAACAACTGGGGCCCAGGGAAGAGTTTTGAGCAGGGGAAGGCAGGGGCCTCTCCAGATCCTGGGGGGGAACCACCTCCAGCTTCTCAGGCTGACCCCTTGTGGGGAGGGAGAGTTGATAGGGCCAGCCATCCCACCCCAACTCCCAAAAGATATGAAGTACTAATCCCCAGTATCTCCCAGTTGGACCTTATTTGGAAATGGGGTCATTGTAGATATTAGCAGTGATGATGAGATCATGCTGGACTAGTGGCCCCTCACGCAGCGTCACTGGTGTCCTTGTAAGATCATCAGATGTCTCCCTGATTCTGTGTAGGTGGCTGGGGAAAAAAAAAAGATGGCTATAGGAAGACTGGGACACACGGAGAATGCCATGTGACCACAGAGGCAGGGACTGAAGAGGTGCAATGACATGCCAAGGACACCAAGGACAGCAGGCCACTGCCAGAAGCCAGGGAGGGGCAAGGAGGGATCCTGAGACCTAGTTTTCAGACGGAGCACAGCTCTGCCGACATCTTAATTTCAGGCTTCTGGGCTCCAGAACGTTGGCTCAATACATTTTGTTAAAAAAAAAAATTTAAAGGCTGAGCATGGTGGCTCATGCTTGTAATCCCAGTACTTTGGGAGGCCCAGATGGGAGTATCACATGAGCCCAGGGGTTTGAGACCAGCCTGGGCAATATAGTGAGACCTCATCTCTATAAAATATATATATGTACGTATATAAAATAAAAATAAATCTCTGTTGCTCTAAGCCATTTGGTCTGTAACACTCTGCTCTGGGAGTCCCAGGAAAGGAGAGGGCTACATGCGCTGAGGAGGGGACACTTCCTTGCATGGAGGAAGAGGGTGTGAACTTGGCCCTTGGTGGAACAGGGAAGCCTCGGGCAGAGGTGGCGAAAGCTCAGCCCATTCATTGAGATGAAACTTCCACTGGTTTCTGTAAAGGTGTCTTGGGGAGGGCAGGGAAGGGGATGAGGACCTCCCAGTGGCATCCCTTCCTTGGGCACTGAGGGAAAGCCACAGCAGCTCAGGGGAGAAAGTGGGGACATCCTCTCTTCCTTGCCTGCCTCTGTCCCCAGGGAGACTCGCCTCCTGTTCCCACCTGGGGCTGGCGTGATAGATGAGAGGAGACAGCTCAACTTGGCATCTGGGTGGCATGGGGACAAGAGATCCCAGACCTTCTTGTTTTGGGGTCTGGGGCCAGCAGCCAGGCCCCAGGGACAGTGAGTAGAGGGAAGGGTGGCTGGGAGAACCCTTGACTTGCTGCCAAGGAGACAGAGCTGGAGCTAGGCTGGCCGGGGGTGTGTGAGGAGGGTACAGAGAGGGAAGGGGGCAGGGAAGGGGACTTTGACTCCAACCTCCTCTTTCTCTACTGATGGCAGGTGGCAGCTGCCCTTCCAGGAGCCAGCAGGGAGACCTGGGTGGCTGGGTGGGGACACCTGCAAGTCCCCACCCAAGCCGGCTACCACCCTATCCTGCCTTCTCCAACTGCAGGGACACTGCTCAGGCCTTTTGTGACACCACACCCGACAGTCCTTGGGGGTCCGGTCATTGCTGCTGGGTCCAGCGAGGTCCAAGCTCAGGTCACCCTGCCCCCTACCCCCCATGCCAGATCTGGCATCGTTGTGGGCAAACAATTATCTGGATGATCTTTATGGGGCTTAAGCTTGGGTGGGAGCAGATGGGGCATGAGCTAGGGATTTGGAGATGGCACACCCCCACGTCCCAGACGTTTAAAAGGCCCTCTCTGGCGCTGGGCTGGGACAGAGGCCAGCAGGAAAGTGACTGGAGTCCAGTGACATGATGGATCTGGAAGAGAAGAGAGAGGAAGGCTCAGGCCCCCGCATGGAGGTGAGAGGGCCCTGCCCCCATCCTGGCCCCAGCTCAAGGTCTCAGAGCCCATAACTGACAAGACTAATTAGTTTGTAGGGCACCTAATTAGCGAGTGGGTCCCCTAGGACCCCCTGATCCAGTTATGGCTGCAGGCAGGGGCTGGTGGGCTTGGAGATCTGAGTGCCAGGCCCCAGGGTAGAGGGCAGAGCTCTCCGTGTGGACCCCTGTTGATGGGAAATGCTGGGACCTGGGGGTGGCTCCTGGGCTGTGTTTCCCTGATTCGTGTCCCAGCTCTCAGGCCACACTCCTCAGGCCCCAATCTAGGACAGCGGGATGCTGGCATTGCAGCTTGTCCCTTGAGGCGGCACCACGTGAAGTGGCACTGCCGGCTGGGGCCACTGGGGTGGGGGCCGGGATTGAGAAGGAGACTCATGTCTCATTCAGAGCAGCTCTGCAGAGGGGATCGGCAGGGACCATGGTGAGATCTAAGGAAGAGGGGATGGCAGGCCCTTGGGGTCAGGGTGGGAGCCATCGGGCTGGGAGGGCTGGGGAGGGGCCCCAAGCTGAAGGGCCAACCAGACTGAGCAAGTCTGTCCTCAGGCGGGCTCCCCAGACCAGGAGGGCTTCTTCAATCTGCTGAGCCACGTGCAGGGTGACCGGATGGAGGGGCAGCGCTGTTCGCTGCAGGCCGGGCCAGGCCAGACCACCAAGAGCGGTGAGTGTGGGCACAGGGATGCCATCCACGAGGCATGAATGGGGTGGGAGTGCACGGCGAGTGGTCATCTGGAGGGCCTGGGGGCACGGCGTGTGGGAGGTGGTGGTGCACCCTGAAGCATCTGTGTGGGGTGAAGGGGTGGGGTGGGGATGGGGGTCCCAGTCCAGCTGTGTCCTCTGAAGTCCATCTACATCCACACAGAGAGCGGCCCCACACCCGAGATGGACAGCCTTATGGACATGCTGGCCAGCACCCAGGGCCGCCGCATGGATGACCAACGTGTGACAGTTAGTAGCCTGCCTGGCTTCCAGCCCATGGGGCCCAAGGTATGTGATGTTCTGTCGGCGCCGAGGAGAAACCCGCCAGGCTGTGCTCTTCGACCCTGCCCCCCACCCCAGCCAGGAGGGATAGGGACTGCCCCACCTCTGTCCATCCTCTGCCCTGACTTCAGATAGGGGGACCAAGGCCCAGGCATGGGGTAGAGGGGCCCTGCCAATGTCAGACCTACAGCTGGAACTGTGGCTCCTGCCCCCAAGTCTGAAGATTCTGGGGAGGCCAAAGGGAGAAAATAGGACCCCTTCCTAGGAAGATATCCCAGGGAGGAGGGTGTGTGAGCTTACGCACGGGATACATACAATTGCATACTCACATGTGTTGATGTCATACATACATGAAGCTCAGGTTCTGATCAAGACCCCAGTGAGGACCCCAAGACCTGCCACCTCACACTCACATACCACCCTAAATGGCAGATATTGAGGGGAGACACAGACCAGTGCTGAGGATGAGGTGGGACACATGCCCACCAGCACTGTCTCTCCAATGTTTGCCACCTCTGGCTGGCACTGCCCTTGAGCCCTCCCCCTGGTTGACCCCTCTTCATCCACAGGACGGAGCACAGAAACGAGCTGGGACCCTCAGTCCCCAACCCTTGCTCACCCCTCAGGACCCGACTGCTCTTGGCTTCCGTCGGAACAGCAGCCCCCAGCCCCCAACACAAGGCCCCTGAGGGCCTGAGCCATCTTGGGCCTCACTTGGCCCCCAAAAGCTGATAAAAGAAATAAAACACTTCCATGAGCAACAAGGAACTGAGTATGTGTATATTTCATCAGGGGAGGGGCTAGGACGCCCACTTGGAGGCCTCAGGAGTTCCGCTGGGCAGCACGAAGGAGCCTCTCCTCCCGCTGCTTCCGTATCCTCTCTTTGAATTCTTCTAGCTCCTGACGCTAGGGGCAGGGAAGCAGGGGTGAAGGGGGACAGGAAGGGTGGAGGGGTACACATCTCAGGGCCTAGATCCCACTCCCACTCTCACCACCCTGCCCAGACCATGGCTTCAAGTTTCAGTGTCTCTACTGGAAGCCCCCTGCCAATTACAATGGGGTCCAAGTGAGATCCGCTTCATTCTTCCAGGATAAGGCAGTAAGAAAACCACCCACTCCTCTGCGCTCAGTTCCCGACTCATGGCCGAGGATAAAATTTTCCTTTCTTGAGATGAAGTTTCTGTTGCCTAGGCTGGAGTGCAGTGGCACAATCTTGGGCTCACTGCAATCTCCGCCTCCTGGGTTCAAGTGATTCTCCTGCCTCAAGCCCCTGAGCAGCTGGGATTATAGGCACCTGCCACCACGCTTGGCTAAATTTGATATTTTTGTAGACATGGAGTTCCACCATGTTGGCCAGGCTGGTCTTGAACTCCTGACCTCAAGTGATCCACCGCCTTAGCCTCCCATGCCCTGGGATTACAGGCATGAGCCACTGCACTCCGCCTAAAATTTTCATCTGAAACCCATCCTGGACACAGGAATCCAGCCTCCTCCATCCCCGGGGTAGAAAGAAGAGGAGATCGCTTACCTTATCAGATGGCCATAGCTCCCTCTGTAGGGAAAAGTCACAGCTGAGACACGAGTCAAGACCCTCCAGAGCCCCACACCCAGGGCAAGGTAGGCTCATGCAAGGCAGACATGGGTCCCCAGCAGATTGGTGCCCCGCACCCTCTCCCACCTCTGGAACGAACCCTTGGACATTCCTCTTATGCCCACCTTGCGCTGTATGACATCGTTCTCAAACCACTCGGCCTGATTGGAAATCCAGAACATAGCCACAGGGAAAGTGAGGTAGAGTATCATCTGGAATGGCAGAGGGTGGATGAGGTGATTTCCCGCCGCTCCCCCCCTCCACAAGCAACATGTAGAAGCTGCTGAGAGCCTGGGGGACCCATTCTACTGTATAGTCCAGGAGCTCCTCCTCGGGGCCTCCCCAAGAACTCCAGAACTCCCAAGTCTCACGCCCTAAAGCGTTAACTCCTATAATCCAGGAGGCCTAATTCCTGAAAGTCCCCTATGAAATGGAGACTTCCTCTCAAAGACAGACAGACACACACACACACACACACACACACACACATACAGGCCCCAGCTACATTCAAAAGCATCTCCTGGAGATCTCATTACTCATCCCCACTTAAGATCGCGGGAGCACCCCCAAGCCCAGGAGGACTCACTCTTCAACTCTACTTCTCTAAGTCTAGATGAGTCTTCCTATCAGACACCCACCCACCACGAGCCCGAGAGCTGCCCCAGGATCTTAAGTCTTCCTTCTTTAGAGCCCCCTTCTCTGGTCACCCCTCTCTGAGGTCCTTCCTCACACCAGCCTTCTCACAGTCCCCAAACCCAGAAGCCCAAATCCGAGAACCCCAAATCCGAGAACCCCACCTAGCGTCCCCTCTCCTGGATTTCCAACCAGAAAGTTTCCTCTCAAATCTCAAGAGCTTTCTCCTTGGAGCGCCCTCTTCCTTTGAAAAGTCCCCGATTTCCAGCCTCATCCTCAGATCCAGGAAGATCCCCTGCCCAGCCTCTCAACCCACTCCTGTATTCACTGACCCGAAATACCTCCACCTTCACCCCCATCTCGTTTCTCCCGGTCAAGAAAGCCACTTCCGCCCAAAGCCGACACTCCAGCAAGACAGAAGTTCATTGGTGTTTCGCACGCTCCACTGCTGAAGCTGATTGACCAGTGTGTGTTCTGATGACGTAGTCTTCGGGCGCCGCTATCTGCTTCCAGTCGCTGGTGTCGTCGAAACGCAGGCCTGTCAGTCAAGAAGGATTTAGCCAATAGAAAGTGGGTCTGGCGCGGAGGGGCGGGCCGTCATTGGTAGACGTCATAAATGCGCGACTCGCGACTGTGCCTGGGCATCCAGGAAAATGGTGGTGATGGCGCGACTCTCCCGGCCCGAGCGGCCGGACCTTGTCTTCGTGAGTCTACAGAGTTGCCGGGGGTGGCCTGCCTTGGGGCACTGGGGCCTGGACGCCGCAGGGGATAGGGGCCTGTTCGCCAAGGGGGTTTAGGCCAAAGCTGCCAGGCTGGGCTGGGAACCCTAACGGGCCAGAGACCGGATAGTGATGTCCGCACCGGACTGGCCAGGAGGAAAGATATGGTGGTGTATTTTAGGGCCTGAGAAGAAAATTACTGTCGAAGTGAAGCGTCTAGCCTCCCAAGCCAGGGGCGGAAATGGGGGCGTACAGGAAATGGGAGAGGAGGGAGATGGCATAACAATCTTGAGAGGTGAAGACCGGTGTTTGAAGTAAAGGCATGATTACGAAGCCAGGGCTCTGGTTTCTGGAGTGAAGGCTTGGTTTTCTGGGTAGCGGTCTAGGCCGGGACTGCAGTACTGCAGTTTCTGGGGTAAAGACTTGGTGGCCAGGCTAGAAGAACCGTAGTGATGTGGAGCTTGTGAGGCGATGGCCAATGAAATATTTACTGTCTGGAGTAGAGGCATGACATCTTCATCAGATTGTTGGTGTCCAGAGTTACAGGCTTGGCCTCTGGACCATAACTCCTCTTATGAGATAAAAGCCTAGTTAACTTGTGGGGCAGAGTGCTTTGGAATCTGGACCTGAGAGCCCTGGTGGATGAGATAAAGGTTTGGTTATCTGGGCCTGGGGTGGTGGCAGGGGGAGGCTGAGAGGCTAAAGGCCTGGTATCTGGGAAGAGGCACTTTTTTTTTTTTTTTGGAAACGGAGGTTTGTTCTTGTTGCTCAGGCTGTAGTGCAATGGCACAGTTTCGGCACACTGTAGCCCCTGCTTCCCAGGTTCAAGCAATTCTCCTGCCTCAGCCTCCAGAGTAGCTGGGATTACAGGCATGTGCCACCACACCCGGCTAATTTTGTTTGTTTTGAGATGGAGTTTCCCTCTTGTTCCCAGGCTGTAGTGCAACAGCATGATCTCGGCTCTCTGCAACCTCTGCCTCCCAGGTTCAAGCAATTCTCCTGCCTCAGCCTCCCGAGTAGCTGGGATTACAGGCTTGTGCCACCATGCCCGGCTAATTTTGTTTGTTTTGAGACGGAGTTTCTCTCTTGTTCCCAGGCTGAAGGGCAATGGCACGATCTCAGCTCACTGCAACCTCTGCCTCCCAGGTTTAAGCAATTCTCCTGCCTCGGCCTCCCGAGTAGCTAGGATTACAGGCATGGGCCACCACGCCGGGCTAATTTTGTAATTGTGGTAGAGACAGGGTTTCTCCATGTTTGTCAGACTAGTCTTGAACTCCTGACCTCAGGTGATCTGCCTGCCTCGGCGTCCCAAAGTGCTGGGATTACAGGTGTGAGGCACTGCACTCAGCCAATTTTGTATATTTAGTAGAGACAGGGTTTTTCTAGGTTGGTCACGCTGGTCTCAAACTTCTGAACTCAGGTGATCTGACCACCTCAGCCTCCCAGTGTGCTGAGATTACAAGCGTGAGCCACTGTGCCCAGCTGAAGAGGCATGTTTTGAAGAAGTGAGGTCTGGTGTCCAGGACAGAGGCCTGGCATCTGGGCCAGGGCCTTGGTGTCTAAGGAGTCTGATAATCTGGGGCAGAGAGCAGGTGGTGATGCGAACTCATGTCTGACCCGGAGTCCTAATGACTGAGAAGTCTGATGGTTTGGGTTCGATTGTGGGGAGTCAAATTCTGAGAGTAAAGTTCTGGACCAGTGTCTTGTTGTCTGGGCATCTAGTGACCTGACTTCCTTGGTGGGTGGCGTGATCTGGGTAAAAGTCCAGAGTTTGGACCTGAGCCCCAGTAGTGGGGTGATGCTGCACGCAGGCTCTGAGGGTAGGTCTCTCTTCTTCCCATTCCCTGGCCCTGGCAGGAGGAAGAGGACCTCCCCTATGAGGAAGAAATCATGCGGAACCAGTTCTCTGTCAAATGCTGGCTTCGCTACATTGAGTTCAAACAGGGCTCCCCGAAGCCCAGGCTCAATCAGCTGTACGAGCGGGCACTCAAGCTCCTGCCTTGCAGGTGGGAATGACTCCAGCTGCCCTGCCCACCAGCCCCCACCCCACCTGGATATAACAAAATTGGCAAATAGGTCCCAGGTGATTGTGTTCCATCGCTGACTTGTAAATCCTTTGATGGGTCAGCACACCTTCCCTGATGTCCCAGTCTGTCCCATCATTGCTGAGACATGCCACCACCACCCCCATACCCCTTCTTCCCACAGTTGCCAACTGGGGCAGGGCAGGTGGTCCTGGGAGGGTCCATAAAGCTGACCAATCAGCGTCTGTCCCTTCTTGTTCCCCAGCTACAAACTCTGGTACCGATACCTGAAGGCACGTCGGGCACAGGTGAAGCATCGCTGTGTGACCGACCCCGCCTATGAAGATGTCAACAACTGTCATGAGAGGGCCTTTGTGTTCATGCACAAGGTTTGGGCCTGGGCAAGGCGATGAGTGGGGAGGTGGGGCTCAGTCCATGGTGGTGGGTGCGGTGGGTGTGGGGGCTGGGCTCAGCATAATAGGGGTGGGGGCCTGGAGTCCTGTTGCTTCTCTGCATGGGAAGTTGGGTTGGACTCAGTCCTGGAGCTGGGGGTTTCTTGGTCTCCCTGCATTTATGTGGTGGCCCTAGGTGTGGCTCAGCCATAGGACATCGAGTGTCTGTGGCCAGGTCATGGAGTCCATGGCTTAGCCCCAGCCGCCTCTCCCCGTACCCCCAGATGCCCCGTCTGTGGCTAGATTACTGCCAGTTCCTGATGGACCAGGGGCGTGTCACACACACCCGCCGCACCTTCGACCGTGCCCTCCGGGCGCTGCCCATCACACAGCACTCTCGAATTTGGCC